CAACAATTTTTCATCAAGTGTCATGTTTTAACCTTCAACAAGGACCGGACGTAGCCACACTCGATTCAACTAAAGTTGGAGAAATAGACACCCGCCAGCCACCTATGTGCGTAAGCATGTCGGTAGAACTAGTCTCATGAACGCGGTCATGTAATGTCGGTCTGGGCCGCTTCATCCAACAAAACCGCCGAATCAAAGTATGACATGCTGGTAAGCAGTATGACTATTATCGCCCACAACTCTTTGTGTTCTACTCGTGCATATAACATCTACGCATAAACCTGGCTCTGATACCACTGTTGGGGAATGCGGTAATTTCAAAAAAAATCCTACGATCACGCAAGATCTATCTAGGTATACATAGCAACGAGAGGGGAGAGTGTGTCCATGTACCCTCGTAGACCGAAAGCGGAAGCGTTTCAATAACACAGTTGATGTAGTCGAACGTCTTCGCGATCCAACCGATCCAAGTACCGAACGTATGGAACCTCCGCGATCTGCACACGTTCAGCTCGGTGACGTCTCTCAAACTCTTGATCCAGCTCAGGCCGAGGGAGAGTTCCATCAGCACGACGACGTGGTGAAGGTGATGATGAAGTTACCGGCGCAGGGCTTCACCTAAGCACTACGATGATATGATCGAGGTGGAAAACTGTGGAGGGGGGCACCGCACACGGCTAAAGATCAACTAGTGTGTCTATGGGGTGCCCCTGGCCACGTATATAAAGGAGGGGAGGGAAGAGGTCGCCGGCCCAAGGGGGGGGGGGGCTAGGTGTGGGGAATCCTACTAGGACTCCCTAGTCCAAGTAGGATTCCCCTCCTCTTTCCTATTCCTAGTAGGAGAAGGAGGGAAGGAGGAAGAGGGGAGAAGGAAGGAGGGGGCGCCGCCCCCTCCTAGTCCAATTCGGACAACCCATGGGGGAGGGCGCGACCACCCCTTGAGGCCCTTCTCCCCTTTCCTGTATGGCCCATTAAGGCCCATTACTTCCCCCAGTGAATTCCCGTAACTCTCTGGTACTCCGAAAAATACCAGAATCACTCGGAACCTTTATGATGTCCGAATATAGCCTTGCAATATATCGATCTTTACGTCTCAACCATTTTGAGACTCATTGTCATGTCTGTAATCTTATCCGGGACTCCGAACAAACTTCGGTCATCAAATCACATAACTCATAACACAAATCGTCATCAAGCGTTAACCGTGCGGACCCTACGGGTTCGAGAACTATGTAGACATGACCGAGACACATCACTGGTCAATAACCAATAGCGGAACCTAGATGCTCATATTGGCTCCTACATATTCTATGAAGATCTTTATCGATCAAACCGCATAACAACATACGTTGTTCCCTTTGTCATCGGTATGTTACTTGCCCGAGATTCGATCGTCGGTACCATCATACCTAGTTCAATCTCGTTACCAGCAAGTCTCTTTACTCATTATGTAATACTTCATCCTGCAACTAACTCATTAGTCACAATGCTTGCAAGGCTGATAGTGATGAGTATTACCAAGAAGGCCCAGAGATACCTCTCTGAAACACAGAGTGACAAATCCTAATCTCGATCTATGCCAACCTAACAAACACCTTCGGAGACACCTGTAGAGCACATTTATAATCATCCATTTACGTTGTGACGTTTGGTAGCACACAAAGTGTTCCTCCAGTATTCGGGAGTTGCATAATCTCATAGTCTGAGGAACATGTATAAGTCATGAAGAGAGTAGTAGCAATGAAACTGTAACGATCATAATGCTAAGCTAACGGATGGGTCATGTCCATCACATCATTCTCCTAATGATGTGATCCCGTTCATCAAATGACAACACATGTCTATGGTTAGGAAATATAACCATCTTTGATTAACGAGCTAGTCAAGTAGAGGCATACTAGGGACACTATGTTTTGTCTATGTATTCACACATGTACTAAGTTTCCGGTTAATATAATTCATGATAAATAATAAACATTTATCATGAAATAAGGAAATAAATAATAACTTTATTATTGCCTCTAGGGCATATTTCCTTCAGTCTGTACATGCTAGGCTCGTCAAGTCTAACCAAAGTATTCATCGTGCGTAAAAACTGGTTTACACCCGTTGTATGTGAACGTAGAGTCTATCACACCCGATCATCACGTGGTGTCTCGAAACGACGAACTATCACAATGGTGCATACTTTAGGGGGAACACTATTACCTTGAAATTAAGTGAAGGGATCATCTTATAATACTACCGTCGATATAAGCAAAATAAGATGCATAAAAGATAAACATCAAATGCAATCAAAAATATGTGACATGATATGGCCATCATCATCTTGCGCTTTTGATCTCCATCTCCAAAGCATCGTTATGATCTCCATTGTCACCGGCTTGACACCTTGACCTCCATCGTAGCGTTGTGATTGTCTCACCAACTATTGCTACTACGACTATTGCTAACTCATAGCGATAAAGTAAAGCAATTACATGGCGTTTGCACTTCATACAATAAAGAGACAACCATAAGGCTCCTGCCGGTTGCCGATAAATTACAAAACATGATCATCTCATACAATAATGTATAATTCATCATGTCTTGACCATATCACATCACAACATACCCTGCAAAAGCAAGTTAGACGTTCTCTATTTTGTTGTTGCAAGTTTTACATGGTTGCTACGGGCTTCTAGCAAGAACGGTTCTTACCTACGCAAACCACAACGGTGAATTATCAAGTTTATTGTTTTAACCTTCTTCAAGGACCAGCCGCAGTTAAATTTGATTCAACTAAAGTAGGAGAAACAGACACCCGCCAATGTATCTTCATTTGTTTGTAATTTTAATGTAATTCTCCTTTTCTTTTGCAGAGGCGGAAACGATCCTATGATTTCCCCATTTGTTCAACATTCACTAGTTATTCTGGAAAGTTTTTCTCAGGTGTTGTGCAACCAAATAGAGAAGAAAAGTTAACAAGTATCCTTCCATCATGTCAGCAAGTATTTTTGAGAGATTTTTCTGAACCTGTGGATTGCCTCTTGGTGTTGTGCATCTGTTTTTTCCCTTGCTTCTCTCTGGGCACTTGTCCTTTTCACATGCCTCTCTGTTCTTTGCTCTTCTCTCTCCCTCTCTCCCATGGCGTCTGCTCTTTCTTCTTCTCTCTCCCCTCTCCCATGGCGCCTCCCAGATTAGTTCTGTGTGTTAGGTGAGATCTGTGAATTGGTTAGAGTAGTAGAGTTCGGGCCCTTGTGTAGGATGCAAGTTGAAGGAGGATCCTAGGAATCGCAGTCGCCAGCTGTTTTCTGATTTTAGTTTTTTTTCTTTGTCAGGTGATTTGTGTTCCAGAAAAGGGTAAGGAGTGTGGGCGACCGATCCAGTGGGTTTTTTATTTTGGTTAGTTATATTAGAACCAGGTCAGATTTTCCAGCCCGACCCATTTTTTTGGGCAAACAAACATACAATTGTCGTAGGTTTATGGACACACAGCTGTCAATATTTGATTTGTCTAGAAATTTGAATGTTTTCCAATTGTAAATCAGTCAAATGCTAAATAGATAGTCCCTTCTTTTAAACCAACAAATTTGCATCACGCGCGGTTGTGCCCAAACACAAAATACATCAGCAAACTTCACACGTGCTTCGCCCTGCCTCTGCCTTCTTCCTCCCAACGAAGCACCGTCCATTGCGCCGGCCTATCCCCACCCACGACGACCCCTTGCCGTGGATCCGCACATGGCATCCCCACCCACGACGACCCCTTCCAGTGGATCTGCGCATGGAGCAATGCCAGCGTCGGGCAAGGCAGATGCGTTGGTGCGGGAACGGAACCCCGAGCAAGAGAGGTCGCACAGCTGCGTGCCGAGGCAGGAGGCTGAGGAGCGGATGTGTAGACAGCTCAGGGGGACAAGTGATTAGGATGAGAGTATAGGACAAAAAAATACGCATGATACATAAATAGGGAAATCTCAAATTCATTGTGTAGATCGGGTACGGGTATGTGATTGTGCCTGAATGAAGCCTTCACACGTACCCAAACCTGACGGGTGTCATCCCTACTTCCATGTCATGGCTAAGAACAGAACAAATCACTTCAACCCTCCTTTGGTTTGTAGGATTGTATGAATTCTATAGCATAGAATTTTCGAAGGAAACATTCCTTTGGAGCCATTTGGTTTATACGAACGGATTCTTGTGCCTATGTAGTAGGAACCAATCCTTCACATTTCAAAATGAAAAAAGCATTAGCCCAAACTCAATTAAAAAATTCCTATGATATGCATTAAACGACATTTTTTTTCCTTTTTTATAGGAATCAAGATACATGTCATCTCATTTGACATGATTTTCTTATTCTTGTTCATATCTCTTTCGCGTGATGCACATATATCTGACTTCAATACACAGGAAATATGAATAAAATGCCTTCCGCATGATGTGCATATATCTGACTTCAATACACTGGAAATGCTTCTGGTGGTTCAGTTAAAACCATACATCGATGTATCAATGGCATATTATCTGACTTTACACTGTTCTTGTTCTTTTAGTTATAAGGTGTATCAGAATGACTTGCAATCACAGACGAAGCATAGAGATTTGTTGTTCAAAACTTCAAATGTCTTGCATGCTTGATCAAGTTTGCAATGGTTTCAAAGTATTCATGCCCAATATAGGGCATCTGCTGGAGCAAAAGAGTTTCAGGTGATGAAAAATATTCTTTCTTGTGATGTAAATCTACTTTTTGTGCGCCCAATTACCATCACAAACACAGTAGGTACATAAATTTGCACGCACAGAATATGTAAAACTAGGTTCCGTGAACCAAAATGTTTAAAGAAACTCTGCATAAGCATCTCTGAAACATCCAACAGAACAAACACGATATGATATTTAAGGTATCTCAGACGCGGCACACAGATATTGCACAGAAAACAGTTATGAACTTCAGATGCTCCAAAATCAGGCTAACCCTTCATAATACCAGAAAGCTAAAGCTTCATGTCAGACCTTCACTTCTTGGCCTTGGCCTTCTTTGGTGCCCTGTAAACGATGCAAATTGGAGAAGGTAAGATAAAACGGAACGAAACACATTAACTATGTGGAGAAAGATTTCGGATGGAGATGCTTACGCTGCTGCCGGAGCTGGAGCTGCAGCCGCTGGTGCTGGTGCATGATCTCTGGGGCCCTGTTTGCCAAATAGTACCAAGTCAACCAAATTGGTCTAACAACAAAAACCTTGCTGGATAGCAGTAGCAAGTAACAAAATTTAATCAAGTACAAATAGCTTGCTACATTCAACACGAACATCCAGCTCTGAACGGTCTGTTATCTAAGATCAACAGACAAATTTCACCAAGTATAGCAAGCCCCACAATGGTAGTAAAAGATGATAATAAGATTTCTAATTTCTCAGGTAACATGTGTAAACATCAAGTATTTCAGAATTCAATATAGTGCATAGACAGGCTAGGTGAAAACATCATCTTACCTGAGCCAATCTCTCCTCCCTCCTGGCATGCTTCCTCTCCCTGCTAGCCTTGCTCTTGGCGCGCTTCGCCTCAAACTGATCAGAGAGGGTCTTCTCTCTTGCCTTCTCAGCCTTGGACTTGTGGATACTCTCCATGAGGACCCTCTTGTTCTTGAACATGTTACCCTTGACCTTCAGGTACATGTCATGGTACATGTGCTTGTCGATCTTCTTGGCCTCACGGTACTTGCGCAGAAGGCGCCTCAGGACGCGCATCCTCCGCATCCACAGGATCTTGGTGGGGAGCCTAGCCTCCCTGGTACCCCTACGCTTACCTGTGCAGAGAGCCAAATCACAGGTTACAACACAAACACCTACAAAGATGAATACTATCATGCCAATTAAAGTTGCGGCTACTAACCATATCCAGAGTGACGGCCCTTCTGCTTGGCCTCATGTGCCCTCCTTGCACGAGACCTGGAGTGGATCTTCTGAGGCTTCCTGATGATGAAACCATCCTTTACCAGCTTTCGGATGTTCTGCCCTGCAAGTATTAATCAAACAATAAATCACAGTTATGCTCAATTATGAATCAATAGACACAGCATAATGAAGAATGAAGAGCTCCAATGGATTGAAACAACAGTACAGGTACAAAGTACACACAAATAAGAGTTCAAACAAACACAGAAGTGCATGTGAACTACATATTTATTAATACAAACCGAGGAACAGCATAAGGAGCTAGGTCCACGAGATTAACATGCACAGACTGAAGCAACAACTGAACCTTAACAGACAAGACTGCTGGTACATGAATTACAAAGGTAAAGTAACACCTAAAGCAGCTACTCTGTAAGTGGAAAAACATTTACATGGGAGTTAATCATGGTTTAGGCTAACAGAGCAACCTGTTCAGTATAATCCAACTATGGTGAATTGTGTTAGTGCACATGAAGATAAATGAACACTGAAACCAGCTTCATCATTACTCCCTCTGTACCGTAATAGTTGTCGCTGGAGTAGCTGAACTTCAGCGACAACTATTATGGTACAGAGGGAGTAGAAGTTATTGCATGTGAAGGTAAAGGAACATTAGAACAAGCAACTCGATTAGCTTCAACAGTAGAATAACTTGAGTAGTTACCATGGTTAGGCTAATGGAAAAGATGTTCCTTATGACTCAACTTGTACTATGGATAGGTTAGCAGGACTTCTTAAACTAGGTTCAAACTCTTGTTGTACATGTTTTGCAGTTTACCAATATGGATACGTACTATCAATTCAGCGGTTTCCGCATACAAATCAGTAAATTTAACACTAAATACACTGCAAGATGCATAAACTAGGCAACATAAGTTGAGAGCATGCGTGGAGACTCAATATAAACAAAGCATCTACATGAATCGCCGATTCATCTGCTATCTGAAACACCATCAAAGTGGCACATCCCAGTCCCATAGCTATCACGGTAGCTCAGCACAAAATCAAACCCAAGAGTGGTTTTCCGTCTAGATACTCAGATACCCGAAGAAGACTCATCCCGGCAACACGAGGCTGTTCATCCGATCTGCGAGCAGGCGCAGCACAAGCAAGCATCGCTCTACCCGCCTCGAACGACCTAAGCCTCGCGGATCACCGCCTCGGCGACAGATCTACGAAACACGCGCGCGGCGAGGGAGAGCGGATAGGGGTGGGGCTCTTACGGGAGTTGGCCATGGAGATCTCGTTGACCTCATTGGGGTCGAGCCAGACCTTGCCCTTGCCGCACTTGAGGACGCTCGAGGCCAGGCGCTTCTGCAGCTTCAGCGACACCATCTTCGCCGCCGCTCTCCTCCTCCCTTACCTGCCGTCTGGTTGTGGCGCAAGGGTTTGGGAAATGCGGCGCTGGCGGCGCCTTATAGCTCTGGGGGGATTAGGGTTTCCCTGGCTCGATAGTTGGGCCGGGCCTTTGTTGTATGGCTCGCTTCGCTCTGCCTCTTGGGCCTACGGCCGGTTGTAGTTGGTTGGCCCGTTCAGTCATCAGCGATGTCCGACTTTTCTTTCCTATGAAACCACGTGTCTCTAGAGAAACTTCTATCCTTAGCCAAAAAGCACCGTGAAGGCCAAGTTTTGAGAAGTCAAATAAACTAATTGACCAAGAAGAAGAAGTCTAACCAGCTTGTGAAGCAAGTTTTCTTATGGACTGAAAAATGGGTGGCTATATATATGGTCTTCCTTGGGGAGAGTTATGAGGTAGAGAGATTTTGAGTACTTTGTGTGCGTAGTTCTAGGTCAACAATTTAACTAGTTAATACGTATTATACGTGATAAAAATATGTGTTTAGAAAGTACATCCACATACGAGTCCTATGACATTCCCACAAAAAAAAATATAACAAATAGTATTTAGTTAGTAAAATTGATGATCTAAAACTATGCGCGCACCCTATACACCTAGACGGATGAAGTAGCTCATTTCATCTTCTACAAAAGTCCACGACTGATTCATATATAAAGGACCCATGGGTTTCTCTCCCTACATCTTGTTTTTATTTTTCTGGTTATTATGGTTGTGCAATGAGTTTTAATTGATTGGATTGTGTGATTGGTAAATGTGACCGGACGACCCTTGTGTCACCTCTTAAAGGGCATTTCCCTCCTTAAGTGATTTTGGTGTTTATGACAACACAATTTGCGGACTAATCGTGTGTTTGAACTACACAAGCATATTCGGTAGTGGCACAAGACGGTTAGGTACCCCTCTCGAAGGAAAAGATTGAAGACAGAGATTTTGACGTTTTTGTTTCCATGGTCGTAGGAATATGTACTATTAAGAGGGGGTCCGTTTTGGAAGGTGTGGGTGAAATCAGACACGTACCCACAACATATATTGCACTCACATTACCTTCCCTTCAGTTTTGAGGAGAGTCTTAGATTCTACCATGATGTTGTCTTTGTACACCCGGTAGTACGGTTGTGCTTTGTGGTAGTATCGCTCCTCTTGCGGGAGTAGTACTCTGCTCGCACCCAGGGCATTAGTACCATGCACTAAAGCGGCAGTACCACTCCCATGTTGGAGCGGCACTACCACTCCAAGTATCGGAGCTACTACCGTGAAGAGGTGATTCCTCCTTGTTTTGGCAGCGATTGTTAGGCAGTAACACCATAGTAGTACCGGCTATTTTTCAATAGACAACACCGTCGGTGTCTAGAGAGGTAGCATTGCTCTGTCCATGCTACAACTCGGCTAGTGGGCCGATAATACCGCACCCTGGTACGGAAGTATCATTCCCTTTGTAGGAGCGGCACTACAGAGCATAGAGCCAGTCCACTACCACAGGGGGCCAGTTTCCACTACCTAGACACTGGCACCAAGGCGGCATTGCTACGATAATACCGGCTATTTTCATATAGTCGATACTACCACGAATTGGAGCAATAGTGCCTCTCAGGATTTTGCATTGCAACTTGAAGGGACCTTTGGTGGAGCTATGCAACTGATACTACCACTCAGTTCAAAACTTGACATAACGGTTGGATTTGGGGCAGCTATATAATGTCGTGGTAATCTCACGGCAGATGCCATGAGTAGGCTAAAATTGGAGGGCTGCGTATGGATGCCGGTGGGCTTCGGAAGCGAGGTTAGTACGCGCAAGTGTGAGACACGAGACGTACCCAGGTTCGGGGCTCTCCGGAGAGATAATACCGCTACTCCTGCCGGATGTGGTTGATCTGAACTAGTACAGAGTTGCTCCTTGAGTTATATTCGGCTAGAGGTGGAAGAGAAACTAGCTGGTCATCTCCTTCCTCTACGTGAGTGGATGTGTGGGTAGAATGCTTAACCCTCTGCATGGAGGAGCCCGGGGGGTCTTATAGGCTGGCCCCCCAGGTTACAACGGTAATATTACATGGGCACGGGACCCTGATGTCAGTGTCTTGATCCCGACGCTGGGACCCGCCGGGTCGTCGGGCCCGCCGGCTCCTCCGGGCTTGGGTCTCATCGATCGGTCGAACGTGTTGGTTGGTCGACTGGTCGCCTCCCGCTCCGGTCAGCAGAGTGGGGGGTGCTGTAGCCACACGCGTCCCGGCGACGGGGGCGTAGGTACATGATGACCCACAAGTATAGGGGATCTATCGTAGTCCTTTCGATAAATAAGAGTGTCGAACCCAACGAGGAGCAGAAGGAAATGGCAAGCGGTTTTCAGTAAGGTATTCTCTACAAGCACTGAAATTGTAGGTAACAGATAGTTTTGTGATAAGATAATTTGTAATGGGTAACAAGCAATGAAAGTAAATAAAGTGCAGCAAGGTGGCCCAATCCTTTTTATAGCAAAGGACAAGCCTAGACAATTTCTTATAATGAGAAAAGCGCTCCCGAGGACACATGGGAATTATCGTGAAGCTAGTTTTCATCACGCTCATATGATTCGCGTTCGGTACTTTGATAATTTGATATGTGGGTGGACCGGTGCTTGGGTACTACCCTTTCTTGGACAAGCATCCCACTGATGAACCCCTATTGCAAGCATCCGCAACTACAAAAGAAGTATTAAGGTAAACCTAACCATAGCATGAAACTAATGGATCCAAATCAGCCCCTTACGAAGCAACGCATAAACTAGAGTTTAAGCTTCTATCACTCTAGCAACCCATCATCTACTTATTACTTCCCAACGCCTTCCTCTAGACCCAAATAATGGTGAAGTGTCATGTATTCGACGTTCACATAACACCACTAGAGGAGAGACACATACATCTCATCAAAATATCGAACGAATACCAAATTCACATGACTACTAATAGCAAGACTTCACCCATGTCCTCGGGAACAAACGTAACTACTCACATAGCATATTCATGTTCATGATCAGAGGAGTATTAATATGCATTAAGGATCTGAACATATGATCTTCCACCAAGTAAACCAATTAGCATCAACTACAAGGAGTAATCAACACTACTAGCAACCCACAGGTACCAATTTTGTGGTTTTGATACAAGATTGGATACAAGAGATGAACTAGGGTTTTGAGAGGAGATGGTGCTGGTGAAGATGTTGATGGAGATTGACCCCCTCCCGATGAGAGGATCGTCGGTGATGACGATGGTGATGATTTTCCCCTCCCGGAGGGAAGTTTCCCCGGCAGAACATCTCCGCCAGAGCCCTAGATTGGTTCCGCCAAAGTTCCGCCTCGTGGCGGCGGAGTTTTGTCCCGTAAGCTTGATTATGATTTTTTCCAGGGTAAAAGCCTTCATATAGCAGAAGATGGGCACCGGAGGGCCACCAGGGGCCCCAGGAGACAGGTCGTGCCCAGTAGGGGTGGGCGCGACCCCCAACCTCCTGGCCAGGGTGTGGGCCCCCTCTGGTATTTTCTTCGCTCAATAATTCTTATTAATTCCAAAAGTGACTTCAGTGGGGTTTCAGGATTTTGGGAGCTGTGCAGAATAGGTTTCCAATATTTGCTCCTTTTCTAGCAAGAATTCCAACTGCCGGCATCCCCCCTCTTCATGGTAAACCTTGTAAAATAAGAGAGAATAGCCATAAGTATTGTGACATAACGTGTAATAACAGCCCATAATGCAATAAATATTGATATAAAAGCATGATGCAAAATGGACGTATCAACTCCCCCAAGCTTAGACCTCGCTTGTCCTCAAGCGGAAGCCGAAATCGAAAAATATGTCCACATGTTTAGAGATAGAGGTGTCGATAAAAATAAAATACGGACATGAGGGCATCATGATCATTCTTCTAACAGCAACATATATAGATTTTGTCATATGATTTCTTATGCTCAAGTAACAATCTATTCACAATGTCAAGTATGGATCATAAACTTCATTGAGAACTAACAAACTATAATCTCAGTCATTGAAGAAATTGCAATTTATCATAACATCAGAAAGAGTCAAGAATAGAGCTTTTCAGCAAGTCCACATACTCAATTATTATATAGTCTTCTACAATTGCTAACACTCAAATAATACTTGTGGTTATGGAGTTTTAAGCGGACACTGAGAAAGATAGGGGCTTACAATGTTGCCTCCCAACGTATTCACCTTTGGGTGATGTCAACAATAATAGTTCATGCTAACTTACATTCAATTGGATATATATATCAGGATCTTTCCAACACGAGGCGCTTGCCAAAGGATAAAATGAAAAAGGGAAAGGTGAAGATCACCTTGACTCTTGCATAATACCCGAATCACTCGGAACCTTTCCGATGTCCGAATATAGTCTTCCAACATATCGATCTTTACGTATCGACCATTTCGAGACTCCTCATCATGTCCATGATCTCATCCGGGACTCTGAACTACCTCCGGTACATCAAATCACATAGCTCATAATACAAATCGTCATCGAACGTTAAGCGTGCGGACCCTACGGGTTCGAGAACTATGTAGACATGACTGAGACTCATCTCCGGTCAATAACCAATAGCGGAACCTGTATGCTCATATTGGCTCCCATATATTCTACAAAGATCTTTATCAGTCAAACCGCATAACAACATACGTTGTTCCCTTTGTCATCGGTATGTTACTTGCCCGAGATTCGATCGTCCGTATCTCAATACCTAGTTCAATCTCGTTACCGGCAAGTCTCTTTACTCGTTCCGTAATGCATCATCCCGCAACTAACTCATTAGTCACATTAATTGCAAGGCTTATAGTGATGTACATTACCGAGAGGGCCCGGAGATACCTCTCCGACAATCGGAGTGACAAATCCTAATCTCGATCTATGCCAACTCAACAAACACCATCGAAGACACCTGTAGAGCATCTTTATAGTCACCCAGTTATGTTGTGACGTTTGATAGCACAAA